GCAGCGACACCCGCGGCGTTCGCTCTTCCTCCTCCTCCTCCTCCTCCTCCTCATCCCAGGCCGTGCCGGGCTCCAGGACGGACACGCAGCGGCGCCGCGGGGGCGGCAGCCCCGCGGGGACCCCCCCGCAGGGCGCTGGGGTGACTCGGGGGGGCTCCAGGTCGCGGGTGGGCTCCCGGTGCCGCTCAGGACCGGGCGCTGCGGGAAGGGGCGCGGAGGGGTCGGGGGGGGCCCAGCCCGGCCGGGAGATGAATTTGGGGGGTCTGAGGTGAGCCCTGCCCCCGCCCCGGGGCGCTGCCGCTGCCGGAGGGTCCCCAGCGCCCGCGGGGACGCTCAGAGCCCCCCTCCCCACGAGGCTGAGCTCGCCTGGTTACTCATTAAACGGCCCGGAGCCCGGCCGGGAGGAGAGCGGCTGGGAACGGGAATGTGGGGCACGGGAACGGGAACGGGAACGGGAAATGGGAATGTGGGGCATGGGAACGGGAACGGGAACGGGAAATGGGAATGTGGGGCATGGGAACAGGAACGGGAATGGGAACGGGAATGTGGGGCATGGGAACGGGAACGGGAACGGGAAATGGGAATGTGGGGCATGGGAACGGGAACGGGAACGGGAAATGGGAATGTGGGGCACGGGAACGGGAGTGGGAAATGGGAATGTGGGGCATGGGAACGGGAACGGGAATGGGAACGGGAGTGGGAAATGGGAATGTGGGGCATGGGAACGGGAACGGGAACGGGAAATGGGAATGTGGGGCACGGGAACGGGAACGGGAGTGGGAAATGGGAATGTGGGGCATGGGAACAGGAACGGGAATGGGAACGGGAATGTGGGGCATGGGAACGGGAACGGGAGTGGGAAATGGGAATGTGGGGCATGGGAACGGGAACGGGAGTGGGAAATGGGAATGTGGGGCATGGGAACGGGAGTGGGAAATGGGAATGTGGGGCATGGGAACGGGAGTGGGAATGGGAACGGGAACGGGAATGGGAGTGGGAATGGGAACGGGAATGTGGGGCATGGGAACGGGAACGGGAGCGGGAGTGGGAGCGGGAGTGGGAATGGGAATGGGAATGGGAATGGGAATAGGAAAGTGAAAGGAAATGGGATTGGGACTGGGAACGGGAATGAGAATGGGAATGGGAACGGGAATGGGAACGGGAACGGGAATGGGAACGGGAACGGGAATGGGAACGGGAATGGGAACGGGAACGGGAATGGGAACAGGAAAAGGATTGAGAATGGGACCCCCCACAAGGATGCAGCTCATCTGAACTCCCAAATTCCCACCTCCTGAGGGGAGGGATAAACCCCCCTGGAATGGGGAGACAGGACCCAGGAGGCTTTAGAGGGACTGGGAAATCTGGGATGGGATCTTGGATGGGACCTTGGATGGGACCTGGGGTGGATTTGGGATGGGAACACGGCGAGGTTTGGGATGAGATCCGAGATGCGATCTGAGCGGGTTTTGGGGTGGGATCTGAGGGATTTCAGCCTCTAAAAGGCCACATGAGACTGGGAAACCCTTGGGAATCCTGGTCCCCCTCCCAAAATCCCGACATCCTCTGAGACCCCCAACATTCCTCCCAGAACCCCGGCACCCCTGAGCATCCCGAGCCAGCTGCAGGTGGATCCCCCTGATCCCCGTGCCCCAGCCCGGTCTCACATCCCCGAAATCCCAACAGCATTCCCGGGCTGGCACATCCTTGCCCAGCCCTGGCCGGACTCACCCCGCTGGGGACAGGGAGAGGACTGGGATGAGCTGGGATGAGCCGGGATGAGCTGGGATGAGCTCAGCCGTTTTCCTGTTTTTACATTCCCAGCCCGGTCAGCTGATTAAAAAAAAAAAAAAAAATTCCCTTTCCTTTGTGGATTTGCCGGGGATCGGCCACAAACGTGGAATAATAAATATGGAAGCGTAAAAAAAATGAGGAGAGGAGCGTGGCCATCGCTCCAGGGCAGCTCCCACGGCAGAACCGCAGGCACGGCTCTTCCCGAGAGCCCGCCAGGCCCCCGCAGATTTTGGGGCTCATCCAGGGGCGCAAAAGCAACCGGGATGTGCGGGAGCTTCCCAGAACCTGGTGGGAATCTCAGGATGCGAATCCAAGCTCTGGGCCAGGGGAAGGGGAAGGGGAATCCTGCGGCAGCTCCCCCCAAACCCCGATCCTGGGCGGCTTTGGCCCCGGAGCGGGACGCGGGAACAGCGGGATAACGGCGGACCGGGAATTTCGGGAGCGGCACCGAGCTGGGAGCGGCCAAACCCATGCCCGGGGTGGGGTGGGGTGGGCCGGGGTCGGCTGTCCCGGTGCCGGGGGAGGGCACCGTGGGGACCCATCCCGCCCTTCCCGCCGGGATTCCCGCCGGGATTCCCGCCGGGAGCGGCGGCCCCGGAGGGGTTCGGAGCCGTCCCGGGGCCGGAGGGGTTCGGAGCCGGGGGTGATGCGGAATTAGGGGGGCAGCGGCCGCCCGGGATCGTCCGGCACCGTCGGGGATCCCCATCCCGGGGCTGTGGGAACGGCCCCCGCGGCCGGGACACGGCGGGACGAGGGAGCGGCTCCGGGGCCGTGACCTCGGGGGGACCCCGGGGGGACGGGGGCGCCCTCGCCGTGTCCCGTTGGAGCGTCCGGGACACCGGGAAGGGGCTGGGCGCTCAGGGCCGGGGGGCTCGGGGGGGACTCTGGGGGGCTCGGGCCGTCCCGAGGTGACCCCAGGTGACCCCAGGTGACCCCAGGTGACCCCAGGTGACCCCAGGTGACCCCGGACCTACCTGCGGGTTTTGCGGGAGCTCCGCACAACCCGGCCATCCCCAATTCCCGAGGTCCCGGCCATTCCCGAGTCCCAGCCCGGAGATTCCCGGTTCCCGGGGTCCCAGCCCTGCGCCCCCTCCCCCTCCCTCTCCTCTCCCGCACTCCAAACAAACCAGGAGCCACTTGGCGGAGCAGATCCTGTTCCCTGTTAACCCTTTTCCCGCAGATCCCGGGGGTGCCGCTCCCATTCCCCAAATCCGGAGCCGCTCCCTCCTCCCCCCTCCCCCACAGCCCTCGGCACCCCCCGCTTCCCGTTCCCAGCGGTTTTCAGGGATCGGGAGCAGCCCCCGCGTCCCCCTGGGGTTCAAACTGCCCCTTCCTGACTCCCGGAGATCCTTCCCGTGGGATTTATGGATGATTCAACCGGGCACCCCCAAAGCACCGCAGGGCAGGGCGGGGGAGACTCCGTGCCTCAGTTTCCCTGCCCCAAAGGCAAGAATTCCTTCTCCCCACCCCGGAATATTCCCACTTTTCCAACCCGCTGCCGGCAGAACCCCACATCCATGGGGCTGAACCCCAAATCCACGGGGCTGCCCCCACATCCCCACCTTGTCCCGGTTCCAGACGGATCACACACCTCGGACAATCCCAGCACAGCCGGGTCCAGGCGGGATTTCATCTCCTGGGAAAAGCCAGCATGGAACGAGTCAATCCCGGCTGGATCGGCTCCATCCCGCTCCGGAGGCACCTGCGGGCCCTCAGCACCGCCCGGGGGGGGGGAAGCAATTCCCACCTACCGGGAATATCCGGGAGCGCGGAAAAGCTCCCGCAGCCTCAGCCGGGGCGTCCCGGAGCCGTCCCCGGCAGCAGAAACGCCGGGAAAATCCCAAATTCCGCCCGCCCCGGAGCCCAGCTCGGGCTCCGAACCCCTGCTGGATTTTCCTGGGGGTTTGTCCCGCCGGGAATGAGTTTGTTTAAACAAGCGGGTGGAACGGGGACCTTTGTGCGGGATTCGGGAGGTGCCAGGAGGTGACACCTCCCGGAGCCGCCGCCGGGCCCTGCCCGCTCCCGAAGCTTTTCCAGGGATTTCCTGGGGAAATCCCTATGCCAGGGATTTTTTTTTTTTTCCCCAGGGCAGGGAATGAGCCTTCTCCCAGGTTTTTGGGGTTAAATTTCGGCTCTGCATTTCCTGGTTCTGCGGGTCCGCCCCGGAGACCTCCCCGCGCGGCGCTTGTGTGCATGAACTTTTGGAATTAGGGTGGAATTTGGGAAGCTGGGGCTTAAATTCCTGAATGGAGACGGGAACGGGGTCTTTGGGCCCTCACCAAGCCAAGCCGCGATTCCATGGCGGGACAAAAACTCCTTCCGAGGAGCCGTGACCCCAAAATGCCAGAAATATTCCAGGTGGAGTCAGCGACCTCCGAGCTCTTTTCCAACCTGAACCATTCCATGATTTCCCAGGCGATTCTGGAATCGGCTCCTCCTCCCCAGGGCGCCCTCGGGGGTCTCATCCTGCCCGATCCCACAGCTCCACCTCCCAAAATCCAGGACCAACAACATTGCTGGCGCCGGGATTTGGGATACAACAGGGACAACTCCTTTTCCCAACAAAACCTGCCCTCAAGGCCGATCCAGCTGCAGGGAATGAGCCACCCTCGCCCTTTTCCCAGCTCGAAATCCCACGGGAGTGGCAGCAGGAGCCGGATTCCCGCTGGATCATCCTTACCCCTCATCCTGGTGAGGAGATTCCCGGCACTCTGATCTCCCGGCACCCCGGATCCCAACGGCAAAGGGAGGCGCGGGAGCCGGGGGTGAGGAATTCCAGCCCCGGGACAAAGGGACGCTGTTCCCTCGGGATCTCCATCCGCCAACACGGAATTCTCGGCTGTGGGGTGACGGGAGCCACCAAATATTGGATTTTTTTTGGGGGGGATTATTTCCAAACATTCGTGTCCAAATATCGGAATTCTGAGGCAGCAAAATGCAATCTTTTATTTGCCGTGGAATATCCGCAATTCCGGCAGCGTCACACGGAGGGAAATCGATGTCCGGCATCGCAGCAGCTCCGGAGGGAGGAACCCACGATCCCAGTGATCCCGGTACCCGATCCCAATGATCCCAGTACCTGATCCCAGGGATTCCTGTGGTCCCTGTGATCCCAATGATCCCTGTGACCCCAGTACCCAATTCCAAAGATTCCTGTGATCTCTGTGATCCCAATGATCCCTGTGACCCCAGTACCCAANCTGTGATCCCAATGATCCCTGTGACCCCAGTACCCAATTCCAAAGATTCCTGTGATCTCTGTGATCCCAATGATCCCTGTGACCCCAGTACCCAATTCCAAAGATTCCTGTGATCCCAATGATCCCAATGATCCCTGTGACCCCAGTACCCAATTCCAAAGATTCCTGTGATCCCAATGATCCCTGTGATCCCTGTGATCCCAGTACCCAATTCCAATGATTCCTGTGATCTCTGTGATCCCAATGATCCCTGTGACCCCAGTACCCAATTCCAAAGATTCCTGTGATCCCAATGATCCCTGTGATCCCAGTACCCAATTCCAATGATTCCTGTGATCTCTGTGATCCCAATGATCCCTGTGATCCCGGTACCCAATCCAAATGATCCCAATGATCCCAGTGGTCCCAATGATCCTGGTAGCCCATCCCAATGATTCCTGTGATCCCTGGGATCCAAATGATCCCTGTGGTCCTGGCACATGATCCCGGTGATCCCAGTGATCCCAGTACCCAATCAAAATGATCCCAGTGATCCCTGTAATCCCAATGATCCCTGTGATCCCAGTACCTGATCCCTGCGGCCAATCCCTGCAGGAATTGCCATTCTACTCCCAAACCCCCAAATTTCCCCTCCCCAAAAAACCATTCCCTGGTCACCTATCAAGGACATTCCCCCTTGCCACGCCCAGGATCTCTCCCGGCCCATGGATCCAACCGGGGGACGACGCCCACGGCGCTGGGGAGCGGCCCTGGAGGAGGAGGAGGAATCCTTGCCGGGATGGGATCCGTGGAAAACCGGGGCTGTGGGATGGTGTCTGAGGGCAGGCCTGCCTAGATCAGCGGGTAGGAGGCGTAGCTGGCGATGCCGCAGAGGTTGGAGGCGTTCCGGGCCATGCGGATGTAGCCCGCGTCTCCGAAGTGCACGCCCCAGCTTTGGGAACAGGGAGAGGGCACAGGGAAAATCCTCGTTCGTAAAGGAGAAGGCGCTGGAATCCCGGGGTTCATTCGGGTTGGAACCGTTCGGGTTGGAAAAGCCCTCGGAAATCACAAAATCCAACCATCCCCGAGGCCACCGCGGGACTTGTCCCCAAGTGCCGCATCCACACGGATTTGGGCAGCGCCAAACACAAAATCATGGGATTTTGGAGTGCGTTGGGTTGGAATGGACCTTATGGATCATCCTTCCAACCCTCCCACGGGACAAGAAGCACCTGGACAAGGCGCTGAGGGATTTTGGGGGTGGGAATGTGGGGGTGCCCAAGGCTGGGAATTGGACTCTGATCCTTGTGGGTCCCCTCCAGCCAGGAATGTTGCAGAATTCCCCGTGGATGCCCAGGGTTTACCTGTTCTTCACCAGCCAATATTCCTTGTTTTCCAGGGAGCCGTATCCCACCACCAGCACCCCGTGGTTCACCTCCTGCGAGCACTGCGGGTCGTCGAACACCCCTGGGGAGGGAGAGAAACGGGAATTCCAGCCGATCCCGGCCTCCCTCCAGGAATTAGCCCCAAATTCCCGAATTCCACCCGATCCGCAGCCCTCACCGGAGCGGTACAGGAAGAAGCTGGGCCGGGTGGCGTCGATGGCCACGGCCACGGGGCCCACGGTGGCCACGGCGTCCCGGAGCGCGGCCTCGTCGCCCTCGGGCAGCTCCAGGAACCGGGAGCAGGAGGCGGCGCGGGCTGAGGCGTTGTAGCGGCACGTCCCGTTCTGCCGGGAAACGGGAGCGAACCGGGAAACGGGAACGAGACGGGAAATGGGAATGAGATGGGAAACGGGAACGAGACGGGAATGAGACGGGAAACGGGAATGAACCGGGAAACGGGAATGAGATGGGAAATGGGAATGAGACGGGAAACGGGAGCGAACCGGGAAACGGGAACGAGACGGGAAATGGGAATGAGACGGGAAACGGGAGCGAACCGGGAAACGGGAACGAGATGGGAAATGGGAATGAGACGGGAAACGGGAGCGAACCGGGAAACGGGAACGAGACGGGAATGAGACGGGAAATGGGAATGAGACGGGAAACGGGAATGAGATAGGAAATGGGAATGAGACGGGAAACGGGAATGAGACGGGAAATGGGAATGAGACGGGAAATGGGAACGAGACGGGAAATGGGAATGAGACGGGAAACGGGAATGAGACGGGAAATGGGAATGAGACGGGAAACGGGAATGAGACGGGAAATGGGAATGAGACGGGAAATGGGAATGAGACGGGAAATGGGAATGAGACGGGAAAAGGGAATGAGACGGGAAACAGGAGCGAACCGGGAAACGGGAATGAGATGGGAAACGGGAATGAGACGGGAAATGGGAATGAGCTGGGAAATGGGAACAAAATGGGAAACGAGAACAAAATGGGAAATGGGAATGAGCCGGGAAACAGGAATGAACCAGGAAATGGGAACGAGACAGGAAATGGGAATGAACCGGGACACAGGAACAAAATGGGAAAAGGGAATGAGCTGGGAAATGGGAACAAGACGGGAAACAGGAACAAAATGGGAAAAGGGAATGAGCCAGGAAACGGGAACAAGACGGGAAACGGGAACAAAATGGGAAAAGGGAATGAGCCAGGAAACGGGAACAAGACGGGAAACGGGAACAAAATGGGAAACAGGAATGGGCTGGGAAATGGGAATGAGCCAAGGAATGGGAATGAGCCAGGAAATGGGAATGAGCTGGGAAACAGGAATGAATTGGGAAACGGGAGTGAGACGGGAAACAGGAATAAAATGGGAAACGGGAATGAGCTGGGAAATGGGAATAAAATGGGAAACAGGAGTGAACTGGGAAACGGGAATGAGCCAGGAGTAGAACAAGCTGGGAAATGGGAATGAGCCAAGAAACAGGAACCAGCTGGGAAATGGGAACGAGCTGATGAGATCCGGGAGTGTTCCCAGACCCCCAGAGCTCTGTCCAAGCCTTTCCAGCCCTGCCTTCCCTGGCCTTGGGTTTGTTTGTTCCCACAGGATTCTCCACCCTTTTTCCTCAAAAACATCCCTCCAACTCCATCTTGGGGTTGGTTCCACTTCCCAATCCCAACTAAATCCAGCACAAGCCTCCATCCTCCTCATCCTCCTCTTCCCTGGAGTCTCCATCCTCACCCTCCCTATCCACAGATGCTTCTCATTCATCCGGACCCCAGGAATAGCAGCTTTTCCCTCTGTAGCTCCACGTTTGGAGAGTTAAATCCCACTTTTTCTTGGATTGAGCTGTTGTTGTTGTGACCCATTTTCCGGGATCGTGTTTTCAGGAGGCTCCTGACCCATTCCTCCCTCCCCTCCAGCTCGTTGCCTAAGAAATGGTGAAATAACCAGGCAGGAATTCCAGCTCCTGGTCCAGTCACTCCCCTCCAAATAATCCCAAGGTTCCTGGGATGGGTTTGGATCCTGAGGCGCCACCACCAGGAAAGGGGGGCAGGGGGAATGGGATGGGAGAGGAGGAAGGAAAGCAGGACCAGGGCGGTGTTTCCATGTGTTCTCCTGGCAAAGAGGCTTCCCAAGCGCTCCCCAGGCCCACCTGAGCCGTGTAGGGGTAGGACTCCTCGGACTCGATGCCGCCGTTGTCGATGATGTACTGGAACGCCTCCGTCATGAACCCGCCGGCGCAGCCCTTGTTCCCGTACATCCCGGAGCAATCCACCAAGTTCTGGGCGCTCAGGGACACCAATTTCCCGGTTTTCAGCTTCACCTGCGCTTCCAGCGCTCCCACGGCGCTGAAGGCCCAGCAGGATCCGCAGGCGCCCTGGGAAGGAGCCGGGGGAGGCTCAGGAGCTGCCCCGGGGAGCTCCCGGGAGGCTCCCGGGGCGAGGCTCACCTGGTTCTTCACCTCGGTCACGCAGCCCTTGTCCCGCCAGTCCAGCGCCTCCGGGATGTCACCGACCGGCCGGAATTTGGCTGGGAATGCGGAATTCCGACGGGGACGAGGACGGAGCTGGAGCCTCGTCAGCGAAGCCGCCACCTCCTCGCTGGTCTGGTGGGAAGGAAAATCCCAGCGGGTGATTCCTGCTCCCTGTGAGCCCCACCTGAGGGTGTCGGGGGAATTGTGAGGTGGAGTTGGCTTTGGGGGATCCTCAACTCCTTGTTTTTCCACCGAATTTCCAGATTTTCATCAGAAAATGTAAAGCTCAGCTCCAGCTCCCCAAATCCCTGGAAGCTGGGTCATAACCCCCCACAAATTTGGGATACAGAAGAGGGATGATTCATAAACATCCCAAATGACCACCCCAGCTCCCGTGTGCCCCAAATCCCACCCCAAGGAGTTCTTTCCTCACAGAATTCCAGAGCAGCCTGTCCCTGGCTCCCACTGGGATGGGCTGAGGGGGATGGCAGGAGTTTTCCCACCCCGGATCCACCAAAATCCCGGTTCAGCCGCCCTCCGGGGCGATTCCAGAGGGTTGGAAGCCAGCACCCACCATGTCCCCCAGGTGGTTCATGCCCAGCGTGTAGGAGCGGAGCCCCAGCGAGTGCTCCAGGTTGTGCAGTGTCACCAGCCACAGGTTCTTCTCCCACGTCAGGCGACGGAGCGAATCCTCCTGGAATTCCAGAATTCCAGCGGGGCCCCCGTGAGAGCCGGGCCGGCCCCTCCGGAGCCATCCCGCCCCAGTTCATCCCAGTAAAGGCTGCTGGGAGCCCCAGCTGGGTCACCCCTTGTGGAAGCGCCATCGGATCTTCTCCAACCGGCGGTCACCCCCCAGGAGAGCCCCGGGAAATCCTGGCATATTCCCAGGACACATCCCCAGCTGCCTCCCCGTGCCGTTCCCACCTGGGGCTGATATTCCTTCCCGTAGGATTTTTTCCAGAGCTCCCAGTGCCGGTCCAGCGCGGGGTCGGGGTGTCCCAGTGCCAGCACCAGCAGGGCCAGGAGGGCGGCGGGAGCCAGCGGCTCCATCCCGGGATTCGGAGCGGGAGCCGAGGGCTCGGAGCCGGCACTGACCCCTCGGTGACAAATCCGGTCTGGGCAGGGAGGTGGCAACACCTGGGTGACCTGGTGATGCCACCGGCCCGCCCGGACACGCATCCCCAAATTCCCTGCAGGGGAGAATCCGGGAGCCAGCCCCGTGTCCGTGTCCGTGAGGACAGGCCAGGACACATCTGAGCCACCCCAGCACCTGCTGGGACAAATCCACACCCCAAAATCTCCCAATTCCCCGGCTGTATCCAACAGCCGCCCTCCAGGAGCGACAATCCCACAATCCAGGCAGAGCCCCGGGATGAGACAGACCCCAAATCCCCAATAAATCCACTTGTCCCGGAGTTTTACTTCCTCAAAGCGCTCCTGGGGCGGGGATTAAACATCAAACCACTCAAATTACCTCCAGGAGGGCTCCGGGGGGACTCGGACCTCCGCGGGGGCTGGGCAGGGGGATCGGGTGGGATCCGGAGCCTTCCCGGAGCAGGAGCTCCGGGATTTGGGGCGCTCGGCAGCGGCGCCGCGGGGAGAAATCACGAGCCAGGAAATGAGGGAGCGAGGAACCGAAACTCCGATTTCGATTTCGCTTTAAATCCGAGCGGCCAGCGGGGTCGGAGCCGCCGGAAAGCAGCCGGGCAGCGACGGGGCTCGTCCTTCCAGCGCCCCCAAAATCCCGGGAGAGGCTCCCACCACAGCCTCGGGATGGATTTTGGGAGCTCCAGGAGAGCTGAGCCCCCCGGCTCACCCCAGCCCTGATCCCACCAAACCCACATCTGGGGGAAACATCCCGGTTTTTCCCTTCCAGATTGGGAAAACCGGGGTGGGAACAGGATCCACGTTAGGATCGGAGCGCAGATATTCCCAGTTCTTCCAGTTCAACCACAGACACAAAAGGTTTATTCACGTGGAATTCCCAGCTGGAGCATCCCGAGGGTCTCCAGAAGGACAGGGAGGAGATTTGTCCCACTCAGAGTGGTGGTGGTGGCACCTGGGTTCCTCGGGAATGGTTTGGGAAGGGACGCTCTGCTGCATCTCCCACAACTTCAACCCTCACAGGGGAGGAATTCCCTCCCCACGCCCCCAAACCCCGCAGCCAAGAACCACAGCTGACACATTTTGGGTGTTTTATCCAAAATTTATTGGTGGGAAGCGGAGGGGGCTACAGGGACTGGGCGGAATTCCGTCGGTCTCCGTGGCATCCCGGCTGGCTCAGTGCTGCTTCCGCCGGAACGAGCAGCCTGGGGGGGGGACACACAAATCCTAGCAATGATGCAGGGTCTGGGAATGGGAATTCCACGTCTCCCAACCCAAATTTTGGGGGAATTTTGCTGCTGGAGGCTCCCAAAACAGCCAGAATTCCAAAGCTCTCCCCGGCATTCCAAAACTCTACTGAGGAGGGAACCAGCCCCCGCTGGGATTCCAAATCCCCCACGCCAAGGAAGAACCAGCCCCTCCCGAGGTTCTCCAGTGGGACCCCCACACCCTGTGCCCCCACCCCAAAGATTCCCAGACCCCCCAAAGCCCTCCCCGTGGAGCAGCCCCCCATCTCCCGGGATTCCCAAAGCCCCCGGGATACCCACCCTCGGTGAGCCGTGCCTTGCCCCCCGTGGGCTGGCACAGCACCGTGGAGCAGCCCACGCAGAGCACCACGGTCTGGGCATGGCTGAACACGGTGGTGATCTTGTAGCAGCCTGCGGGGACAGCGTGGTCACCGCGGGGACACGGGTGGGAGGACACGGGTGGGAGGACACCGACACACACGCGGGGACACCACGACACGTGGGGAGGACATGGGGACGCTGGAACACGGGAAGGGACACAAAGGGGACCCCGGGACAGCGCAGGGGACACGGAGGAAGGACACGGGGAAATAAACGCGTGGGAAGGCCACGGGACACGAGGAATGGCGATAAGGGAGCGGGGACAGCAGCGGGACACACGGAGGGACACGGGGAGGCCCTGGGTGCCCACCGGGGCACTTGACGTCCATGAAGTAGGAGTTGGGGCTCTGCACCAGCCGCTTCTTCTTGTGCTTGCGCTTCTCCTCCTCGGGGGACGGGTGCAGCAGGTCCTTGGCGAGCTGCGGGGACGCGGCCACGGGTCAGCGCCGGACTCCGCGCCCGCTCCCGCTCCCCCCCACTCCCCTCACGCCGCCGCCGCCATCTTGGAGCGGCCCCGCGGCGCCGCCCGCCCGCAGCGCCCCGCGCCGCCCCGGCCCCGCCGCGCTCCCCGCGCCGCCCCCGCGCCCTCCCGCCCCGCGCCGGCCCCGCCGGGCGCGGAGCCGCGGCGCCGCGGGGGCGGCGGCGCCCGGGCAGGCCCGGGCCGCACTCACGGGCATGGCGGCGGCGGCGTGAGGGGCCGGAAAGGGACGGGCTCAGCCGCGCGCCGCCATTTCCGCCGCGGGGCGGCGCCAGGGCCGGAACAGGGGCGGGGCCGCGCTCGGACTGCGGCGGGCTGGGGGCGCCATGTTGGGAGGGTCGCTCGCCGAGCCGCCTTTTGGGACTGTGATTAAAGTTTTGTCACTCGGGGGTGGCGCCTCTCCTTGCGGGCATTCGGGGCGGCCGTCTGAGTTGTTGGAACTCAGGAAGGTGCCTCATGGCGGTTTGCGTTTCTATCCTTGTGGGACGGGCCCTATGCTGCCGCCATCTTGGGAAGGTCCCTGGGCGGCCGCTGCCGCCTCGGCACGGGCGCGCTCGCGCCGCTCTGGGGGTGGCACCGCTCCTTCGTGACGTCACTGCCCTCCCGGTGACGTCACCGGGGCGTGGCGTCACGGCGGGGGCGGGGCCGCAGCCAGGCCCCGCCCGGGGGGGGCCGGCCCGGTCCCGGTCCCGGTCCCGGTCCCGGTGGCGGCGGGCGGTGGCGGGGCCATGGCCAAGGCCTACGACCACCTCTTCAAGCTGCTGCTGATCGGGGACAGCGGCGTGGGCAAGACGTGCCTCGTCATCCGCTTCGCCGAGGACAACTTCAGCAGCACCTACATCTCCACCATCGGTCAGTGGGACCCCCCCGGGACCCCCTCCGGGACCCCCAAACCGGGACCCACCGGGATTCATCGGGACCCCCCAAACCGGGACCCACCGGATTGTCCGGGATCCCCCGCGGGACCCTCCCCAGCTGGGACCCACCGGGATTCACCGGGAACCCCCAAACCGGGACTGACCGGGATTGTCCGGGATCCCCGCGCTGGGATTCCCATCCTTGGACCCCTCCGGGATCTCCCACCCGGGATTCACCGGGAACCCCCAAACCGGGACCGACCGGGATTGTCCGGGACCCCCCCAACCTGAGGCCCTCTCCCCCGGGACCCTCCCCAACTGGGAACCTCCGGAATTCACCGGGACCTCCCAACCGGACCCACCGGGAGTGTCCGGGACCTCCACGCTGGGATTCTCATCCCTCTGGGATCCCCCAACCGGGATTCACCGGGACCCCCCCTCTCCGAAATCCCCCCGGGGCCCCTCCCAGATGCCTCTGCCCCGAGACCCCCCCGGGACCCCCATCCCGGGATTCACCGGGACCCCCATCCTGGAACTGACCAGAGCTCCCACCGGGACCCACCGGTTCTTGCCAGGAACCTCCACCCCGGAATGCTCCGGGATTCCCCTCCCGGATTTTGGCCCCTCCTTTCCCGGGGAGCCAGATGGTTACTGGGCGCCGGAATGCCGGCACTGGGAGCACGGGGAGAACTGGGGATACTGGGGGCACTGGGAGCACTGGGAATACTGGGGGCACTGGGAGCACTGGGGGAATTGGGAGCACTGGGGGCACTGGGAGCATGGGGAGCACTGGGGATACTGGGGGCACTGGGAGCACTGGGAGCACTGGGGGCACTGGGGAAACTGGGGGCACTGAGAGCACTGGGGATACTAGGAGCATTGGGAGCACTGGGGGAATTGGGAGCACTGGGAGCACTGGGATCACTGGGAGCACTGGGAGCACTGGGAGCGGTTCTGCTCCTCCTCTCCCAGTGCCTCCCTCCCTTTCCTGCAGGGATCGACTTCAAGATCCGCACTGTGGATATAGATGGGAAGAAGATCAAGCTGCAGGTCTGGTGAGTTGGTTGGGGGGGCGTGGCAGAGACCCCCGAATTCCCCCCAGAATCCCCAAAACCGCCCCGTTTCCGCAGGGACACGGCGGGACAGGAGCGCTTCAAAACCATCACCACGGCCTATTACCGCGGAGCCGTGGTACGGGGAGGGGGCTGCAGCCCGGGGG